GATATTATATATATATATATATATATATATATATATATATATACTATTATCATATTATCTTTATAGTTGTTATTGTCACACTAGTACAAAAATAAGTTTTCTTAATGCACTTTTATATATGATGTTATCCACACGACATAGAAAGTGACGTGATGACATACTTATAAATATGTCAAAACATTCTATGATGGGTGTTAATATATTCATCATAGAATTGTTCTTTTTATGAAGGGTAAGTCAACACTTATCATAGAATGTGTTGGTCAACTGTAGACTTCAACCTTTCTATGATGGGTATTGACTTATCCATCATAGAAAAAAAAATTATGATGGATATGATGGCTAAATCGTAACCTGGCATAGAATATCTCGCTATTAGTCATGGTGAGATCACGAACTTAGTTTGCGCTTCACCATTTCATCTTCTTCACTAGCAGTAACGTTTGAGGCGATTTTCTGGTGACTTTTTCATGCACGCTACCACGATTTCCAGTGACCACTGCGACGAATATGTTCAAGCAACCAGTTCTCCTTCTCTTTTCCTTTAGTATGAGGTCCTTCTTCTTCAAATTTTTTTCACGTGTGCTCATAGGTTCAAAGCTTTTCTTCTCTTTTTCCATGATTTTTAGTGTTTGAATGCGGGTTGCCCATTATCCATTTGATCATCATTGCTTGTTTGGTCATTTTGATTTTGTTGATTTTAGGTTTGCTCATTGATTACCTATTTGCTCATTTCGGGTTTACTCATTACTTGTTTGATCATTTTGGGTTTGTTCATTTTGGATTTTCTCATTGATTACATGTTTGCTCATTCTAGGTTTGCTCAGGTGTGTGGTTCTTGTGGGACATGCATAATGATATAAAATATTGAACATTAATTTAAATATCTTTTAGATACCCATAATTTTATACGTTTATTATAATTAGTAAATTTATATTAATATAATCAAATACAAATTTTTATTAGTTTAAAAATATATTAGTTTAGTGATATTAGTCAATTTAGAAGATATAAATTAAAAAAATAAAAAATTTAATTTAAATATATTATTAAAACACTTTAAGTTAGTAATAGTTAAATGAATACTTTAATTATTATTAATTTAATTTTTGTTGTGTTGACATGGTTAATTACATGTTTATATTATATTATTGATTTTATATACCGATTTTAACTACGCATAATTATATGCTTAGTTATCTCAAAGTGTTTTATTATAGTTTTTAGGAATATTGATCGATTATGAGTGAACCTTAGTTTCTCGTTTGAGATTGAATACAATGGTTACACAATAAATGAATAATCATTCTATTGAATCTTGAATTATTCGTTTGAATAGTTTGGAAAGATATATATAGAAGGTCAAATCCCATTTTAAATTTGATAAGATTTTGATTGACTTTATTTCTTGTTGTTCTCTGGATGCATACCTGATTGTGGTGAAATTAATGTCACCAATTTCATTTTGTGTACTTAGAGATCAATGCAAAATGCTATCAAAATTTTGTCAAATTTAATGTACGAGAGTTTACCTATATGTATTAATCAAATATAAAAAATTATTTTTCTAAATGAATAGGGTCAAACCTTGTATTAAAAAGTGAAGTTAACAAGGTTTATGTCAGACGAATGCACCGATGGATTGGAGTTAAATAAATTGTTTACGCACAAGTGTTGAATATAAGAATGAAGTGGAAGAATTTCTTCAGTTTGCTCAAAGGAATGTTATAGACAATAATGGAAGGGTTCTTTGTAACACCCTGTTTTTCATAAAATTATATTAATAATATGTCAGTATTTATTTTAATATTTTAATGTATTTATTAAAAGAATTTTTAATATTATTTAGTTAGTAGATATGAGTTCTATTTTTATATAAACGTATGTTATTTTTACTAAAAGGGAGAAATATATTTTATATTATTTATCTATGAGCTCCATTTTAATATAAAAATGATTTTTAATTAATATTTAGATTATTTACTATAAGATTACTTTTATGAAAAATATGTTTTTATCAAGAACTATGTTTATGTTATTTATTAAAAAGGAGGAAAATGTTTTAATTATATTATTTTATGAGAAAGGAAGGAAGGACATAGTAGTCTTTTACTAATTATTAATATTTATTATTATTATATTAATTTGAGAAAAGGGTGGTTATTAGAAGTTACCAGAGTCATTTCGCATTCACTCCTCTGACTCATTTTCTTTCTTACTTCT